TCCATTTTTTTATGATACAAATTTCGTTTTCTATGATAATCTATTTTCGGCAAATTTGGTTATCTATCAACTTTCGGAAGTAGATATTTCCCATTTTATGATAAATTTCCGTTTTTCTTGATAATCTATTTTCGGAAAGTTGGTTATCTAAAGCTTTTGCGGAAAGTGGATGTTTCATTTTTTTTATGATACAGTATTTCCGTTTTTCTATGATAATCTATTTTCGGCAAATTTGGTTATCTAATAACTTTCGGAAAGTAGATATTTCCCATTTTTATGATACAAATTTCCGTTTTATGATAATCTATTTTTCGGGAAAGTTGGTTATCTAGAACTTTTTTGCGGAAAGTAGATGTTCCCATTTTTATGATACAAATTTCCGTTTTCTGTGATAATCTATTTTCGGCGGTTTTTCTGAAAGAAGTAGATATTTCCCGTTTTTTATGATACAAATTTCCGTTTTCTATGATAATCTATTTTCGGGAAGTTGGTTATCTAAAACTTTTGCATTTCCCGTTTTTTATGATACAAATTTCCGTTTTATGTATGATATTATCTGTTTTTTGTGGCAAATTTGGTTATCTATTAACTTTCCCGGAAAGTAGATATTTCCCATTTTTTGATTTTAAATTTCCGTTTTCTATGATAATTATTTTCAGGGAAAGTTGGTTTATCTAAAGCTTTTGCGAATGTAATATTTCCCATTTTTTTTTTATGATACAAATTTCTCGTTTTGTATGATAATCTATTATCGCTTAAATTTGGTTATCTGTAACTTCTGGAGAGATTAATATTTCCCATTTTTTGTGATACAAATTTCCGTTTTCTGTGATAATCTGTTTTTCGGAAAGTAGATATTTCCCATTTTTTATGTTCAAATTTCCCGTTTTCTATGATAATCTATTTTCTTGGCAAATTTGGTTTATCTATTAACTTTCCCGGAAAAAGATATTTCCCCATTTTTATGATACTAAATTTCCGTTGATAATCTATTTTTCGGGAAAGTTGGTTATCTAAAGCTTTGAAATGATATTTCCCATTTTTTATGATACAAATTTCCCGTTTTCTATGATAATCTATTTTCGTGAATTTGGTTATCTCCAAATTTTGGAAGGATATTTCCCATTTTTTATGATACAAATTTCCGTTTTTCTGTGGTAATATTATTTTTCGGGAAGTTGGTTTATCTAAAATTTTTGCGGAAAGTAGATATTTCCCATTTTTATGATACAAATTTCGTTTTTCTATTGATAATCTATTTTCGTGCAGGTTTATCTAATAACTTTCGGAAAGTAGATATTTCCATTTTTTTATGATACAAATTTCCCGTTTTCTATGATAAATCTGTTTCGGGAAAGTTGGTTATCTAAAACTTTTGCGGAAAGTAGATATTTCCCATTTTTATGATACTAAATTTCCCGTTTTCTGGTGATATTTTCGGCAAATTTGGTTATCTAACTAAACTTTCCCGGAAAGTGATATTTCCATTTTTTATGGTACAAATTTCCCGTTTTATGATAATCTATTTTCGGAAGTTGGTTATTTAAAGCTTTTTGCGGAAATGATATTTCATTTTTTTATGATACAAATTTCCGTTTTTCTGTGGTAATCTATTTTTCGTTAAATTTGGTTTATCTATAACTTTCGGAAAGTAGATATTTCCATTTTTTATGATACAAATTTCGTTTTCTATGATAATCTATTTTCTGAAGGTTGGTTTATCTAAAACTTTTGCGGAAAGTAGATATTTTATTTTTATGATACAAATTTCCCGTTTTCTGTGATAATCTATTTTTCGGCAAATTTGGTTTATCTAACTTTCGGAAAGTAGATATTTCCCATTTTTTTTATGATATAAATTTGCGTTTTCTATGATAATCTATTTTTTCGGGAGGAGTTAAAGGTAGATAACCAACTTTCCCGGAAAGTAGATATTTCCCGTTTTTTATGATACAAATTTCCCGTTTTCTATGATAATCTACTTCGCAAAATAAGGTTAATATTTCCCGCAAAAATTCGAAAATCTACTTCCCCGTAAAGTCAATACTCTACTTCCCGAAAAGGAGAAAATCTATCTACGTTTCGGGAAACTAGATACAAACATTTGACTGTATAATATAAGCTAGGCAATTGCAGCCGTCCTATTCTCAGGGTGAGTTTTCATGTATGGAAATTATTATGTAAAATTAGTTTGTGTATTTCATCGAGTTTCATACGAATTTTACATTTATTTATTGTGTAAATGAGTCGTTTTAGAGATGACACCCCCCAAAAAATACAACAAAAAACAATGTAGGTTGCTCAAAGAAGGAAGGGCTTTGAAGTGTTGGGAAATTCATGCTTGCCTTTATGTCTCATGAGTTAAGGGCGTAGAAGCCTGTAGAGTCAAGGGC